AATGGGAAACACTCCCTTCTGCTCACAGATCTTGTTCATCTGCTTCTTTAGGGCTTCGGGAAATAATGTTGTTAATATCGATGGGAAGAGCTTCCCTTCTCTGTAACTTTCTTTTGGTTTAAAGCACGTGTTTTCTGCAGCCATAATAGTACCTACAGTTGTGTGTGTCACCAAGACATCCTTCTGTGTCCACAACGCTTACAGTGTAAGCAATATGAGGGACAGAAGGCATTCTGATGGCCCCTTGTAGCAGGATGCTGTGCACGATGTCACTGAGTTGCTTGGGATCACAGTGGTTGAGAGCAGTCTTCTCTGACATCCTTTCCTACTCTCAATAAGAATAGAGTAAAACTCCAAAGCATTATTCTGTAGAATATCCTGAAAATGGATGTGGAGTGCCTGGACTGGACCTGATGGCTTTGTGTAGCTTGGAGCAGTGGGATGGCTGCTGGTGGTACCTCCAGCCCTGGAGGGCAGGGAGATGTTTGTACTGCAGTGGGCTGCTGTTATGCTGGTAGAGAACTGGACTTTTGCCATCTCACTTGGGTATTTGTGCCTGAAGCATCTTGGTGCCCCGAGGAATTCTTTGGGAATTCACAGTTTTCATCATTTAGATGCTCTTTGTTGGAGGAGATGTGTTTCACACAGCAGACCCTCACTGGACCTGCAGTGTGCAGCTGTCTGGTTCGCTGTCCATCTCTAGGAAGGTGATGCAATGGGTGTCTTGGGAATCTCCTGTAGCTCTCAGGAGAAGGATTCCTCATGCTCTGCCATCTCAGAACCCATCCCACGCAGGTGGGGAGGACTGGGATTGGTAGGGCTGAGCCTGGTGCTGCGTGCTGGCTGGTAATGGGATCCCATCAGGTAACGAGGTAATGGCACTTCTTTAGCTCAAGGCTGTAGTGGACAATCAGAGCACAATCTCAGCAAGTACTTCAAATTGCTGGATGGAAATGGATTATTCTGACCGATCCTCTGATTATTCTGACAGATCCTGCCTTGTTTGAGACAAGCAATGAGAGTGGGTCTTCCTGGGAGAGGAAGCAGAGCTGTGCATTGCAGAACTCAGGAGGTTGGATGGACCAACACCATGCAGTGATTGCCTAGCATTGCTTTGCCTCCCAGACATCAGAGCTGGGTCAGCTATCCTGCAATCAATGCAATGGCCACCATGACCTACGTGGATTAACAGGGGGTACCACCAGGCTTGCACGTGGAGAAGATACTCTAGGAAGAAAGTAGGAGTGTACTTCCTCCTATTAAAAACAACCATGTAAAAAGGAGTACTCTGCCCAGATCGATAAGTGTCTGTCTGAACAACAGATCTCTCCTCTGCAAAGTTGTAGGGTGGGATTGGCTGTTGGGGAATGATGGCCTGGTGGTTGCTTGTCTTTTTGGCTGCTGAGCAGTGTAAATATTGCACTGCAAATGGTGGCTGAGCGAAAAGGAGAGGAAGAATAAGCTCTGAGGGATGCATTAAATGTCAGTGCTCTTCATCACAGTGTGGAGGTGACACTCCTGTAGGAAGGGAAGCATCTCACACAGGGATGTGGCTTACCTGTGCAACAAGCTGTGGGCAAAGCTGGAGTAGAATCAAGGTTTTCTAATGTCTTCTTCAGAAGATTGAAAACCAAGGCTGGCCTGGATTTTGGTCCTCCTCGTGTGTGTGGGTTGTGAGATGGGGAACAGCAAAGGTGGGGTCCCATCAGCCCATTGGATGCCATGTGCCTGTAGGATGCCATCAACCCATGGGATGCCATCAACTCATGGGATGTTATCAGTCCATGGGCAGCCATCGTCCCATTGGGTGCCATATGCCTGTAGGTTGCCATCAACCCATGGGAGGCCATTAGCCAACTGGGTGCCATGCACCTGTAGGATGCCATCAACCCATGGATGCCATTAGCCAGTGGGGTGCCATGCACCTGTAGGATGCCATCAACCCATGGAATGCCATCAACTCATGGGATGTTATCAGCCCATGGGAAGCCATCAGCCCGTTGGATGCCATATACCTGTAGGATGCCATCAACCCATGGGATGCCATCAACTCATGGGATGTTATCAGCCCATGGGAAGCCATCATCCCATTGGGTGCCATATGCCTGTAGGTTGCCATCAACCCATGGGAGGCCATTAGCCAACTGGGTGCCATGCACCTGTAGGATGCCATCAACCCATGGGATGCCATCAACTCATAGGATGTTATCAGCCCATGGGAAGCCATTGGCCCAATGAGTACCGTCAGCCCATGGGATGCCTGTAGGATGCCATCAACCCGTGGATGTAGCCTTTAGGATGATGGCTACAGGTTCCTAATGAAGGCCCAGGTGAGGGGATTAGCTGGGCAGGTAGCTGCCCCTTTCCTGTGTGTTTTTGCTCATCTCAGCCAGAACTAAATGTGATCGATGCCATTTCTCAAGTGAGGGGTGTGTGGGCTCCGTGGGTGTGTAATTTCCCTAATCAAAGCCATTTGGCTGGGCTGCTATTTGAAAAAGATTCCAGGCTTTCAGAGCCTCCCCCTTTCCTTTTCCATATCTTTATTATCAATTAAAAAAAAAAAAAGAGAGAAAATGCTGTCTGGGCTTGAGGATTTCCTTCGCATATGGAATAGATTTAGCATTCCTCAGCTCCCAGCATTGGCAGCACACCAACCTTCCTCCTATCCCCCCCCCCCCAGCCCCTCCTGCTCCCTGTGTCTCCCAGACCAAAGGATTGCACATGCTGTTGTTCCTGCAGTTGTGTTGCTTTGGTGGTTTGCTGTCGTATTTTGTTATTTTTAATCCAATAGAAATGATGCTTTGCAGAGGGTTGAATCATGGGCACGTGAGCTGTCCTGCAAACAGCCTTGCATCTGTGTGCACGCTCTGGAGGCATTTGCATTCCCATGCATTGGGGTTGGGATGCTGATGGAGCATCCCAGTGGGGATGGTTGCTGCTCATCTCCTTGCTCTGCTCCCAGCAGGATCTGGTTGGTGGACTAGCAGTGCCCTGGCAAGCTGGAAATGGGAATTCTGGCAGTTCTAACAGCTTGAGAAACCCCCAGCAAGCTCTTAAAGCTGCATGAATAACTGATAGTTTATGGGGGGATCATTAAAAAGGGTTGGGGTGATGAGATGCAGGGCAGGCCATGCCACGCAGAGCTCACAGAACAAATCACACCTCATGGTGAGCGCTGTGGGTTTGTAAGGTCCTGTTTTCCTTCGTGTTTTTCCTGATTTTACATCCTTGTGCTTTTGAGATGAAGTGGCAGACAAGGATGCTCCAGCAGCACGATGCAGGCGTGCAGACCTCCAAAGCAGAGCTGATTCACTGGAGGTGAACCTAAGAGGCAAAATGGGCTGCTTCCATCTATTGTAATTTTCTGGGAACGCAGAAAGTGAAATGAAATACCCCCCCCCTTCCCCCCCCCCAACCTCATGGCAAGAATAAATGCAGCTTTGATAAATGCATTTGGAGAGCTGGGGTGCACATGGCTGCTGTGTTATCCATCTGCTTGTGTGTTTGTGCTTGAGGGGAGCATTTGGGTGTGGGGTGATACCTGCACAGGTGTGTGTGTGTGTTTGTATATTGGATGTAGGAATGCCTCTGTGATATATGCATATGTATGTGTATTTCTGCACTGGGGTGTGTGTGTTTGCTGCATTTAAGGGGAGGGATTTCAGAAAGGCAAAGGATGAGCATCTGGAGGAGGGTGCTGCTGCTTGGGGGGCTGCATGTCCTGCTTTCACACCTCTCCTCTTGCTGCACTCGTGCTCTCATTAAGGTTGATGAGTCCCTGGGTAGTCACTGAGGCCTGGTAACTGCTCGGAGGCACCATAATGGCCATAAAAGGATTTGTAGTATCCGATCAGTGCTATTCTCTTCAGCCTGTGAAGTCACAGCAGAGAGCTGATGGCAATTACTTTGATGCTGGGATTTGCACGCCTTCCCTTCCCCCCCTCTTTAATTATTAGGATAAATTGCAACTTCAGAAAAATGCATCACACTCCATCCTGGGCTGAGGTCTGGTGGCAGCAGTGCCCCCTCCTCCTGGCATTGCCTTTTTTCCTCCTATGTGTGAGTTTTCCCATTCCTAAGCCAGCTCAGCTCCCCTCTTGCTGGGTTCCTGCAGCTTGCATGCAGCTGTGCGCTCAGCTTGGAAGCGCACCAGGATGGGACGGCTCATGTGCCTCCTTGGGGTGATGCCTTCCAGATGGATTTAGCTAATTATCACCGCAATTAGGGCTCCCCCTTAATGACTGTAAGTGGAAATTTATTGACGGAAGTAAACAAGAAGCTTGCATTTTGTCTTCATGGAAAGTTCCTCACTTGCTTAATGCAGAACACATGGCTGAGCCTTGCTCTGCTCTCCCCTGCGGAGCCTGCCTGGCTCTCCCAGCATGTTCCCATCTCACCAGGTTGGGTTGGGAGGTCAGCGTTGCATTTGCTTGACCCTTTTCACACGTCTTTCTTCATTTTGTTCCAATCCTTGCTAAAAACGTGCTGCTTCTCTAAGATTTGTCCTTGCCAACTGTGTGCTGTACGGGAGACAAACCTGGCTTGCACATGCAAGCGAAAGCATTAGGGATTATTGGGGTCATGTCTTTGCTGTGCCACGGCCCATTTCACCTGTTGTGCTGTGATAGTTGGCAACATTTGGTAGGAAATATTCCAGAGGGAGAGGCTGGAGCCTTACTGTGCTTCCATCTACCTTCCTTTCCTATTGGCGTGGCTGAGACCCAGCGTAGGGGCGAAGAGGTGGGGAGAGGCTGGAACTGCATGGTTGAATGCTAGAGCTGGAAGAGCAGGGTGTGATGTGTCTCTGCTGGAAAGTCTTCTGCAAACAGGCAGCACCCTCTGTGCCCGTTTGGAATCTGGAATCTAACTCATTGCCTTCCAGGGTGACCATTGGAAAGGAGCTTCTTGGCGACGGGTTGCCCTAACCAAATGCTTGCTTAACCAAATCCTTCTTTTCTTCTTTTTCTCTCCCTGTTGCAACTGTTTCTGCCCTGTGCCAGAACCGGGGTCGCCTAGCAGAGAAGAGGACGATCCCCCTGCCCCCAACCAGGATCCCCAAGAAAGAGCTGACCTCCATTTTCTCGCATAGTGACGACAGCGAAGAGAGTGACAAGGGCAATGGTCAGCACCCCGAAGTAAAGCAGGAAGAGGATCTCCATATCAATATCATGAAAAGAAGGTACTTTCCTGCATCTCGTTGGCATTGCAAGAGCAAAGGCACGGAAATGTGGGCAGTGGGTGGGCAGCTCTTTCCTGCATCTCGTTGGCATTGCAAGAGCAAAGGCACAGAAATGTGGGCAGTGGGTGGGCAGCTGTGTGGGCAGCACAATGGAGTCACCTCCAGGCCTTGAAATTCAAATGTTGTGTCCCATTGGAGTTCAGAAGGAGCAGTGGGATCTTGTCTTGTGGTTGCTCGCTCCTGTTTGGGGCTTTAGGGCTCTTGGGGGCCGTGCATTGTGAGCCTTGTGTTTGCACTGAAGGCATCTGCATTTGCAGACTGTTCTTTGTTGCATGCTCTGTCCAGAGTTCTGTGTCTTTGTGCCTGGGGAGCCAATTAATTGCATGATCAAGGAGCCATATGGAAAACGCACAGCAGTGAATGGGTCAGAAGTCCTGTCTTTTGCTCTCATTTGCCCAGAAATTCTGATGCAATAGAAACTGGGTGGTTTACTGTCAGTGAGCAAAGCTTTGGCTGGAGGTAGCAGCAATGATGGGTGTTACATGTTCTTAATCACGAGTGTCAGAGAGCATCTCCTGGTCCCAGGAATCCCTCTGTAGCACAAAATGGGGTGTAATGGAGGTGCAGCAGGCAGTCAGATACCTGAACACTGAGATGTTGGGGCTGCATCTTGCTCAGTACCCCAAGCATTGCCCTTAACAGGGATAGGAGAAGGGATTGCTCTGAGTTACATTCTGGTGACTGTCACTTGGGCCAATAATATTCAGCTGCAAAATTTGGGGTTCCCTCATCCCTCAGAAGAAATACGATGTTTAGAAGACCTGTAGCTGCAGGGAAATAAATAGCTAAAGGCACAGTGTCTCAGCCTCCCATGCATATCATTGCAACTCATCTTGATTGTCATCTTTCTCTGATGCATAAAATCACTCAGATCCTAAGACAAGCCCTATAAAAACAGAGGAGTGGAAACCGAAGGCATGTAATTGCTTTTCTTATGTTTTATGTGCTTCTCACTCCCGAGGAGATGAGCTGTTTCCCCCCTTGGCTTCCAGCAGATGCCAGTACATTCGGCTTGGAATCAGGGAGACCAAACAGCCAGCACTTCTCATAAAGCCCACCTGTAATTAAAGTCTGGGCGATCAATGACAGCAGTGCTGGGGATTCTCACTGGGAAATAAGAGGTGTTTGGGGATGTGTCTGCCCTGTGCGTGTGCATGGGGGGAGAAGGAGCAGAGGGAGCCTTCCTCCTCAGGTTTGGGATAGCACCCCCCTTTTCATTATGCTTTTAATTTTGCCAAATGAAGGAGCTTTTCTCATTCAGTGGCTCTCAGTGCATTGGCTGGAAGGTCTCATGCTGGCCCCAGCAAGGAGCAGTGGTGCAGACAGTGTGCAGACACGCCAGCTGGGCCTGCACAGCCAGCCCCCCATCTGCTGCTGCCCCTAATTCACCTGTTGTGTGCTCCCTGGCTGCTATGGATTGGGCTGTGGCTTTATTGCCTCCCACCGAGAGGGAGAAATAGGTTAAACTGTGATAGCAGGAGGGCTGGGTTGGGGACCGAGCAGAGCTGCGTTGTTGTCCCATATCCCAATGGCTCCCATGCACTCCTTTGTGCAGTTGCTCTTACAGCAGTTGCATCATTGCTTTGGACATCATTGCCTTTTTTTTCCCCCTTTTCTCTGTTTTCTTTCTGTTGACTCTCTCTGTGGTATGAGGGGATGCTGTGTGTTGCTCCAAGGGGGGAGAAGAGGAGTTTAGCGTGTCGGTTCATCCCTCATTCTAGCCTTCCTCATATGGACCCTTAGGCTTTTGCCTATGGCAGTGGCCTTCAGAGGAGGTATAAGCACTGAGGAAGCTGCCGTGGGGTGTTGTGTTATCATAGAATCACAGAATGAGTTGAGTTGGAATGGGCCATTAAAGGCCATCTGGTCCCACTGCCCTGCAGTGAACGGGGACACCCACAGCTCCATCATGCGCTCAGGGCCCCATCCTAGGAAGGAGCAGAGAGCTGCTATCTATGCCTGTAGTTGCTGCATTTCACTGCACGCCAGCTTATTTCCCAGCAAGTCCTTGCAAAACTGTGTCACTTTGCTGCTTTGCACATGTGTGATAAAGCCGAGGGAGCCGAATCTTGCACCGTAAGGAGCTTGGCTCATCTGCTTAGAAATCCAGGTGACCCAGGCTTAAAGGTGAGTGTTTCTCATCTTGTAGTGAGACCCTCTGAGTCCTCCTTAGCCTGCTTTGCAGGGTGTGTTAAGTAGCCGTGGTGTTATGCCGCCTGTCTGGAAAACAGAGGGCTTAAAATCTTGTCTCATATAACCAGAGGCATCTGCTGAGCCTGATACCATAGCTTGATACCCAGACTGTAAGCATTCAGGGAAGAAGCTCTGAGGATTATTGGGGCAGTGCTGCAGAGGAATAGCCTTTTTCTTTCGATCAGAGTGCAGGTTCCAGAAATGTTGCTCTCTTACAGCCTTGCTGCATGCAGCACTGCGTTGCCATTCTGGCTGTGGCTGTCCCAGTGCTCGATGAGGTTTTCTGTCTGGCTCTGGAAGTTATTGAGTAGCCAACGTGCTCCTCTTTGTGCTTCAGGGCTGTGAGGTCCCAATGCCTTCTTGGTTGAGACGGGATAAATGCAGAACTACTGCTGTCCTCTCACTTGACCTCCTCCTGAGATGCTGTGTTAGGACACGTTTCTTTCACAGCCTCCACTGGCTGTTTTCTGTTAATTGGCAAGTCAGAGGCAGCCCCTTTTTCCTTCCTCCGCAGCTCATCATTTGCTTTTCCTTTCCCTTTCCTTCCCCTCCCTTCTTTCTCTCTGAACCGTGCACCACTTAATAACAGCCATCATATTCAATTAAAGATCCGTCTGGGAAGGGAAGACTGGGCTTGGTCCGGAGTGCCAGGAATTGTGTCATGGTCCTAATGAGGCCATATATTTGTGGAGGAAGAGAAGGAAAATGGCTCCTTATTCTCAGGGATGTCGTGGGACAAAAAGTAAGAAATGGGAAGAAATCCCTTCTTACCCGAGGAGATGGGAGACTGGAAAGGAGGTGAAGTGTGGGGTGGGGAGCAAACAAAATCCTGAGCCTTGAGTGCTCCTGGTGCTGCCTGTAGCTCCTTGCAGCTGGCCATTAAGGATGGAAAAGGCCTCTAAGATCATCAAGTCCAACCTCAACCCATCCCCACCATGCCCACTGCACAGCATCACTTCCATGGTAGAGCGTAGCCAAGACATCCCAAATCCAGGTCTCAGTCTTGCTGGAATCTTGAGGTTGCTGTTCCATGCAAAGAGCCCCGGGTTGTGCTGTGAAACAGAATGATGCAGATAGACTCCATCTAGCACAGAGCTGGCCCTGGAGCAAAGGGGAGGAGGAAGGGACAGCTGCAGGGGAGAGGTGGGATGTGGCTGCACAGTGCTCGCCACGTGGCCATGGGAGCAGGCTGGCCTCGGGCAGGGGCTCAGCAGCAGGATGGCTCACTGCTTTGGCCTCACCACTGCCAAAAAAGCTTGCAGGGTCCTTTGGGGTCCAAGGGAATGATGGGGGAAAAAAAAAAAAAAAAAAAACCCTTAAAAATGAAAAACTATCCCAGCTGCGCTCCCTTATTTTGCCAGCTCTGTCGCTTTCTTTCCTGGGCTGGATTCTCAATCCGGCGAGGGCTCCCAGGGAAACCTCGAATAGCCTCAGCCCTTCCTGTTACATCATCCCTTCGGGGTTGTTTTGTATACATGTATGAGTGACTTCACCCTCTGCACAGACCCAGCCCTGACACCTCCTCGCTCGGATGCTGACCCACACGCAGCTGGGGATCTCATGTGCAGCTCCACGTGGGGCCCTGGGCTGCTGCGCTGAGCTTTGCAACAGATCACCCCATGTCAGAGATCCTGGATGGGTGAGGAGGTAGAAGACAGTGTTAGCCATGCTGTGGGGCTGGTATTCATTTTTTTTCCCCTCTCTTTTCTGTTATTAATTTATAAGGAACTGTCTCCCGCTCCCCGTTCTCCATACAACCCAAGGATGGGCTCCTGCAGCTGATAGCTTGCAAATTATTAGTAATTTGATTTCAATTGGATGAATAACCCGTTAAAGCAAAATGTGCATTAGGCTCGGAAATCTAATTGGTGCTAACGGCGTAGAGACGTGGAAGGAGTGCTTGGTTCTGCTCCCTATCCCTCCCCTCCACCCACCCCCTCCCCCCCCAAAAAAAGAAGATAATTAGGATTTAATTTCATTCTCACCTATTCATTTGTCTAAATATGGGTGTTTAATTATCCATCTCGGCTGATAGCTGCCCCTGTGTGGATCTGAGGCTTTCCCTCCCTTGCTTACAGCACTCCCAAGCAGTGTCCCTACACTTTGAAGTTGTCTAGTGCTCAGCCTCACCGAGGATGGTGGTTCCTTCATTTATTTCTTTATTCATTTTGGAAGGCCCCAAACAATGTTTAATAGACAGAAAAGGAGGGGCACGATCCCTTCGCTCCATTTCCAGGGAGTTGTGTGCATTGTCATCCAGGGAGCAGAGCAAAATCAGCCCCACTGTTGTGTGGGCAGGGTTGGTGCTCCTGGGCCATAAGGACCACGAGGAGCATGAATTTGCTTTGAGCTTTGTTTCTGATTGCAGATGAAAAGCTGGGGAGACAGAAAGCCAGGGTGGGTTTTCTGAAGCACTGTATCTGAATAGGGAATCCTATAGGTACATGTGGAACTAATAAATACAGTTCTGAGCTTTATCGGTGGAACTTAATATCTAATAAAATCTAACAGTACCCTAAAAGAAGCACTCACCCCTGTAAGGAACGGCTCAGAGATCAGCAGGACTCCTTTCTGAGCTGCCCTATGGGGTGAGCACAAAGGCAGGCTCTTGTTGAGGAGACTCACAGCCTTGGATATGCAATTATTTCCGTGCCAAGCACCGCTCTCAGCTGATTTCTGAGCGGTGGTTAAGTCCCATTGACTTCACTGCTCATGCTGAAGTGCTTGCTGGCCCAATTCAGAGCACATTCAAATCAGGCAGGCTTGCATGAGGCTCGTTCTGCTGCCCTCGGCTCACGCTGCTGCTTTTCCTTTGGGGCTGCTCATCAATCACCCTGACGGGGAGGGACGGCGGGGGTCAGGGCCCTGCTGGGGGTGGCAGGGGAGCAATGCTCCCAGTAGCATGCCGAGACAGCAGAGCACAGGTCAGGCATCTGCCTGAGCCCCCTGGGTTGGCGTGGATGCTGCCTGCTTGGAAAAGGGGGAAAAAAAAAGAGCCAGCACAACCCGTGGCTGCCCTGCCTTGATTGAGGATGTTATTCATCTAGAATCTGCTGTTCCTGCTTGTCAGCAGGCAGAGTGACAGAGTATGGGAAATTAATTTCCGAGGTGGGAAATTGCTAATAATTTATTTACAGCCAGGGCGGGCGTGGAGGAGGGAGTACAGTGCAGAGATATTTGGGTTTTTCTTCTTAAAATGGCAGTGTTTAGCCCTTCCTGCATTAGTTGGGACAACACCTTGCAGCCCTTGGGTGTGTTGGGAAGCCTGCTGCAGCAGTGGGGCTTCTTCCCCCTGCAAGTCTCACTGCCAGCACAGTGGGACCCATAGGACGTGTGGGGTTGACTGTGCCTGCAGCAAAGGGGCAGAGGTGGGGAGAGGGTGGGTCATGATGGCAAAGGATGCCGTGTTCAGCATGTGCCATTGATCTCTGTTTATTTGTTTGTTGACAGGATACACACCCACTGGGATTTAAACATCTCCTTCCGAGAGACCTCTTGCAGGTACCATTTTGGGGCACCCTCTTTGTATGGTAGGCTAAGCGTTTATGGTATCTTACTGGCATATGGATGCTGTCAGATGTAAATGAATGTTTCTGATTGTTGGTCCTGTGGGGGTTTTTCTTCCTTCTTTCGCTTTCTCCCCTTCCCAAATATTCCTCCTTCTATTCTTTTGTTTTGGGAAAAATACTCTTGATGGGAAAACAGTCTCTTTTGAAAGAGAGAATTGATTGACCTTATTGACCAACAGTTGACCACGAGCCCTCAGTGAGCATTCCTGGCCAAGAGGGCCATTGGTTGACGAACAGTTGACCAACAGTTGACCATGAGCCCTCAGTGAGCCCTGGTGGTCAAGAGGGCCAGTGGTGTCCTGGTTGCCCAGCAGTTGACCAACGGTTGACCATGAACCAGCAGGGAGCCCTGGTGGCCAAGAAGGCCAATAATGTCCTGGTTGATCAACAGTTGACCAGCAGTTGACCCGCAGTTGACCAACAGTTGACCAACAGTTGACCAACAGTTGACCATGAACCAGCAGGGAGCCCTACTGGCCAAGAAGCCCAATAATGTCTTGGTTGACCAACAGTTGACCAACAGTTGACCAGCAGTTAATCAGCAGTTGACCAAGAGTTGACCAATGGTTGACCATGAACCAGCAGGGAGCCCTGCTGGCCAAGAAGGCCAGTGGTACCCTGGGGTGCACTGCACAAAGCATGGCCATCTCTGTCCATCAAAAACAGCCCGGTGCTGTTTTTGATGTGTGTTTACTGTAGCCCCTTTTTGGAGGAACATGAAATTGAGGTGGCCCAGATGTATGTGTGACCTTACTGGCATGGGAGTCTGTATCTTGTTTGCAAAAGTGATGCTTTGCACAAAAGGCTTGAAGCAGTACAACACCAAAGGTAGTATTTTGGGGTAGTATTGTGAGGGGCAAGAAGCACTGAGGACTTTTCTGTGTGCTACAAGTAGTTTCTGATGATTTGTGTAAACTTCCTGTTCAGTTACAGATTAAAAACCAGTAGGAAAATATTAGTACAACTGCTGGTGGTGCAGCATGTATAAGCCAATGCAGTTTTTACTCTAGAAGACACTGTTTAACAGCTTCAGAAGCACGTTCCTCTCAGCATAGTAGCTGATGTAGGCATCAGAGATGGGAGGAGAGAGTATCAGTGATGACTCCCAGCTCCATCAAATGCAGTGCTGAGTTCTGCCTCCATTCTGCTCCCATCAGAGCAGAGGTGGGCAGCGAGGAGCTGAAGGACCGATGGCCTCTGCCAGTTTGACACACTGACACGTCCCCACATGAGCACGGTGTGGGCTGTTCTGCAGGCAGCAGCATTGTGTGAAGGTCATACCTGCGTGCCTGGAGAGACAGATCCATCTCTGCTTAATGGAGTGTTGGGTGGGAATTAAGTCGTGGTTCCCCCAAGTGGCTCAATGGAGGAAATGGGGAGGGGATGGTGGGAAACATGAACTGAGTCACGCTCCGGTGGGGCAGAGGGATTCACTGGTGGTTAGGTAAGCACCGACTTTGGCCCTGGAACATAAAACTCTATAATTCCTAAAATTTACAACATATAGCCTATAAAACCCCCACCCCAACCAGGAGGCGTCTCGGAGCCGGTCTAGGAGGCACATCTCACCCAGTGCTCCTGTAAAAAAAACAGCTGAAGGGCTTCTTTTGTGCACCGGTCCTCAGAGTAAAATCCCTGTTTTGTGGCAGTAAGCTTTTGGGACTCTAAAATAGAAAAGAATGGATTCCTTCCAGGCGGACCCTTTCATGATAAATTTCAGCCTAGAGCAAAGTTTTATGGCTGAGTTATAAACCCCTAAAAGGCAGAGGTTTGTAATGGAAGCGCTGACACGAGCCCTAATTAATAGCCAGCTGAGCAACGATGCTGCAGTTCAACACAGCCACGGCTCGGGGTGCAAACACCTCTGGAAATCAGAATCCCTGTCTTCAAAAATGAATATTTCTGATCCTCAAATGCATGGTGTAAAACAGTGCTCTGGTTTTTATGACAGCAGACACATTTCCTGTGCTCCCTCTGCCTGCTTGCTGCTTTCGTTTAGCTTTCTCCTGCCCAGACCGTGGCAGAAGGGTCTCAGTGATGTGCAGAGCTCAGCCCCCAGCAGTTGGGCTGGTCCTCCCCAACCCATGGCAGGACGTGGGACCTGTAGTCTCCGTTCTACATGAAGCCAAGCAGCTGTGAGAGCTGCCATCCTAATTTACCTGTCACGGGCTTGGCTTTGATCTTCCTTTCCTAGCTGCCAGAGGATGCCTGGATTTGTTGGCTTTAGCCACCGTGGAATTGCTGTCAGTCTTGCCCTGGATAAAGACGTGTAATTGGGTACAAGGCGTTCTGCCTGCAGAAAACCCAAAGCTCGAGGTAGGGGAATTGTCCTGAGAGGGGAGATTAGGATCTGTCCTTGTGCTGCCAGGTGCTTTTCTCCCGTTCCTGTCAAGCTTTGAAGTTAACACTAGCTTTCAGCCTTTGTTTGCGGCTCCCTTCCTTTCAGATTGCCTTTTTAAGGTAGAATTTGCTTACAGGGCTATATTACTCCTCAAATCATTAGCTGAAGCTGTTCTGGTTGAGCATGCCAGGTTGTGGGATGGTGAACACGGGGTTGCAGCCCATTGCCTGCACTCTGCTCTCCTGCTGGTGGCAGCGAGCTGCGGTGGCTCAGCTGCAGATGGGGAGTGAGGAATAGATAAGAGGCAGTGCGTGCTACCAGCATGCAGCTCTGGATGGGCACTAACCTGTTAGAGTGTATTTTAAGCCATGGTATGGTGCCATCAGACCGACACGTTGGCCTTCCCTTTGAGTCCAGCCCTGGCACAGAGCCTTGCAGGCTGGGCTGAGTGTAAGCAGTGTGGCTGCTGTCAGTGCTGTGCAGCTGTGGTCTTATTGGGAAGTGGTGGGATGGGATGGGTTGGTCAGGTTTGGAGTGGGTTTGGAATGGGGTGGGTTGGTCAGGAAGGAGGAGAAGCGAAACAAATCCGGGCAGGTGGAAAAAGCAGAAGGAAAAATGTTTGGGGAATGGGTTGGGAGGGAAGGCAGTGCACTGGTGTAGCTCATCAAGTGATGCAGGGAGAGAAAAAGAGCAGGAGAAATGGAAAAGCAAAAGGTTCTGAGCGTGTCGAGGCTGCTGCTGACTCAGTAGAGGTGCTGCTGTGTGGTGCAGTGCTGTCATGGGGCATCCCACCACGGGCTGATGCAGGACAGCTCTGTGCTGCCTGTTTGCTTAGTTATCTCTTCCTTTATGTCTCTTTTCTGCAAGCTTATGCCTTCTAATCTGGAAGACCTGAAGGAGGGACTGAGAGGTCAGGAGAGGCGTTTGGCAGCTGGGAGGCAGATGTGACCCACAGCACCCTGCAGCCTTCAGCCTGCTGCTAGAGGAGCTGGCTGTGAGCAGATAAAGCCTGCAGCTTACAGCAGGAGGAGCAGACAGCTCCGGGGAGCTGCAGTGCTGGCAGTGAGCCGTGCCCCACTGATTGAAGTGGGGCAGATGGCAATGGGGAGATAGAGCCCTGCAGAGCTGCAGCTGCCACTCACATTGCTGGGAAGCTGACTGTGTGCTGCAGAATGGAAGGGGTCCCGGTGCCAGCCTGCTGTCTGTGTGCTTTGTAGGTCCATACAGGGAGGGCTTGTGTGTCACATAGGGCTGAGTTTGGGGTTATTTCTGCCGTGGCTTCAGGATGTTGGCTGCCTGCAGGAATGGTTTCATCGGCGTCGTGGCAGAGCACACAAAGAGCTCTCACCTTTATGACTGCTAGAGCTCTGCACCAGGACGTGCTTCCTGAAAGCAGAGGTGCTAAGTACAAGGAAGCTCCTGGTGCTGGCAGGGGTGGCTGTTCCAGGTGGGTGAGTGCAGCGTGTTCATCAAACAGTGCCTGTTTGATCTGGGACAAAAGCTGCCCAAGTAAAGGGATGTGTGCTTTTGTTTGGCTGGAAGATGAGAAGTAAAGTAAAGCCACACCAAATCCATGTAGCTGATAGATATCAACAAGGGCATTCTGTGTCAGAAAGAAGAGTTGGGAAGATTCAGCCAAGGAGCTCAGCCTCCACTTGCATAGAAGAACACGGGCAACCTCTGCTTTGATGGGTTTGAGCAAGCATCCGCATGAGGACAGAGCGTGCAGACACTGAGATGCAATGGGAGGAGCTGTTGAGTTGTCATTCCAAGCCTCGTGTTCCACCAGCTGCTTTGTGAGGGCTTTGCATGGCAGCAGGACATGCCTCAGGCTGCTTGGCTTAACCATCCTCTTTTTGTGTATCTAAGCATCCCCAAGGGATGGGCAGGAGGGAAAGAAAGTCATTCTGTGGCTGGAGGCACCGGTGGAGGTTGGCTCTGGGAGCTGCTGGTGGTCTCCCTGGGTTCCATGGGACACATGTAGGTGAGTGAGTGAGGGATCCTCAGGACTTCCCTTTGCTTCTCCTCTCCCTGTGGGTCTGGTTTTACCCTCTGGTCTCACTTATGCAGACTCTGACACACGTGTGTGCTCAGATGGATGAGCAGGGAGGAGGTGTGTTTCCGTTGGCCTGCTGAAAAGCAGTCTTTCATCTCAAAGAATCATTTCACCATTATTTCGTTAGCTTTTTGCTTTGATGTCATTGACAGAATGCTTCGTGGGGCTGTTGGGGTGGGGGAACACCATTCACATACCTGCAGGGATTCAGAGAAGCAGTCATTTCCTTGCAGCAGGATGCAGTGTTGTGTGTCCAGGTGCAAGGGATCTCACGTGGAACAACCCAACCAAGGGATTCTTGTGCTGTTGGCATGGATGCATGCTAGGTTGCTGCTTTTGGGGAGCGTGCTTGATGCATACAGTGATGTCCTTCTGCTTTTAGATGGCATGTCAAATCACAGCTCCAAGGGCACATTGCTGGAGTAGGTTTCTGACCGCCCTCTTCACACCCTACTGGGAAATCAGGAGGTTTCATATTTAAGTCAGTCTCGCCCTTCGTACGTGGGATCTGTGAGCGATTCCTGCAGCTCATCAG